GGGGGGGGGGGGGGGTGTCCCCCTCGGGCTCGGTCAGTTCGCCACAGGGTCTGCTACGGCCACACCAGTTGCACCACCCTAATGATGGCCCTGACTGCACCTTTAGTTGTTCAGCAGTTACTCGTCCAACACAGCACCAAAATTGTTTAATTGTTCTGTTGAAAAAAACTGCTTAAACCAGAATAATCTGGTTTTAGTTGGTTAAATCTGATCTCCCATCTCTCCAAGATGGTGTTTAGCTGGTTTTGCTGGGCGACCAGCTTAAAAGTGTTTAAAACCACTCTAAAAGCCAGCCTGATCAGTCAAGCCTGACCAGGCTGGGAGACCAGCTAAGACTGGCAAACCAGGTTAGGCTGGTTTAAGACGTTTTTTTCCAGTAGTGTGTACAAACGTAAACACAAATGTCCTTGAAATTAAACATTATTATTAATACTGACATAAAATGTTGGCCTCTGCCTAATTTGGATAGGTTCCATGTGTCAGAATATTGAATGCAAAGTCTTTGGTTTTGGTTTTTACATTGGACATCGAGTGGTGGCCCAACACAGCACCAAAACTGTTTATTGCTCTGTCAATTAAACCGGTCTAAGATGGTCTTAGATGATTTAATCTGGTCTTCCAGCCTGCCCAGCTGAAAAGTGCCCAAAACTACTGTAAAACCAGTGAACAGACCAGCCTGACAAGGCTGGGAGACCAGTTAAGACCAGAAACCAACAGCAATGTAAGCAAAAAATGTCCTTGAAATTAAACATTGATATTAATATCGCCATGAAATGTTGGCATCTGCCTGATTTGGATAGCTTCCAAGTGACAGATTAAGCTCGAAAATACATGATGCAGAGTCTTTGACATCAACAACAAATGAAATGGGAATCGTTTTCTCTCCCCTTTAAAAACCTGAGTCTTTTTCACAAATCTAAATATGCAGAATTATATGGCTAGTTGCATTTGATTATTTGCATTCAGCATTGTTTTTCCTGTAACCCACCAGCTGAGACCTGTAGCTCTAGACAGAATTGTAGTTACAAAGAAATCAATAATTTTTCCACAAAGTGATCATCGGCTCGGCATCCAGCACTCGATGTGAGCTACGGTTCTCATTGTCAATTAAACTGTGCCCGGAGCATTCCTGCAGACTTCTCATTAATAAGCATCCCAAAGATACTATATTCCAGCCAGTATCTCATTACTGATATACATATTGATATACTGACTAAATGAAACATTGAGCAGAGTGTCTTATATTAGTAACTATGTGTCAGTGAATGTCTACGAATTTGATATATACCGTACAGTAATACATTATATAAAGTAAGTTGTGAAGGGATAAGTAATGGGCAGAAGGGGCTGTGAAGTACATCTCTTAGAGAAAGTGAATTTGAGATACATGAAATAGACCTCTATATCTGGAAAAAAAAAAACACACCTCTTTTTAAAACTTCCAGGAAGCTGCTCCCAAACAATGAGGTTACGACCCCCTGTGACCCAACGATGGTCCCCACTTGCTGTTAGCCACGCAGCAAAACATAGAATCCTGGGAAGATCTGAAGAAGTGAGTGAAACCAGGTATTTGCTCTGGGGAAGCGAGAACACTGAAAGAGTGAAAGAAAAAAAGGTGATTATACAACTCACAGTTTTCAAAGGTGTTAAAATAAAATTGATGTTAAATTCACTCACGGTTAATTGTGCTCTCTCCGTTAGTAATGTCAAAACAAGAGCCGATCAAAAGACCGGGTATTTGATTGACGCAATCTGTGACACCAGCAGTGCTGCTGTGATTGGTTAGTCTGGTCATCATGCCTGCACATGATTGGAGAGAGCAAATATGCATCATTAGGGGCACTTTCTAACATTTATCCACTGAAACGCAAATAAACCATAAACAAAAAGTAATTAAACTCACATAATCTGTCTATATATAGACTCCCTTCCTACTCTGTCAATAGCTGCCGACTTTGCTGTGTGTTTTATGCCGTTAATACCAATGTTTTTTTTTTGTCTGTAAGAAGCTCATTAATTCTTTTAGAGCTCCAGCTACGAGTTGTTTGATGAACTGGGGTCATTATGAATCTCAGCGCTCTCGATTAGAGTGTCGCATCATGGTGTGCTCCTACCAGTAACTCTGATTTATCTGATGTAATTGTTTACAGGTTTTTTTTTCTTTTGAGATAATGGCCTTTAGCCAAATATCCTGTGAGAAAACGGGATTAAAATGAGAAAGTGGCGGATGTTTTTTTTACATTTTCCTCTGCCCTGGGGCAAACAGCCCCCTCTCCTGTCTGTGTTCTCTGAGCCACTGGGACTTTAACACAGATTATATTAGCAGCTCTGAGCGAACAGACTCAGTCAAGATGTATTCCATTAATAAATCTGTTAAATAGCCCTGAGTCAAAGAACAAATGAAGGTCCAATGGGGGTTGTAAAATATTTATTGCGACAGAATCCTGCATATCTCTGAGAGGTGCTTTATAAAATAAGATGTTGACTAAATATTGGTTCTGATGGCAGATCATAGGATTATGTTGATTTAACATGTTTATTTGGTG